GTGTCCAGATTACATCACATTATCATGTCATAAATTCAGTAATGTTTGGGACAACTGTATCATTATTTTTCAGTGCTTTATATTCTTATTTATACATTGTATATACATTTTTGTTGAATTTTTATTTTGAATACCCATAACTGTACTAAGACATATAACTGTGCTGTAACTTGGATTTTCACTAACGTAGTAATCTCCCTTTGTAAACTTTGTAAAGCACCGAGGCTGACCGGTAATAGCTTTTGGTTTGATAGAATGGTTTGTTTTATGAAGTCTTTTTTTTTTGTTGAGAATAATGAATTTTCACTTTATAGATTTGAGACAAAATGAATGTTAGTGATTGTTTTCTGTTAATTGATGAACTTATATAAAGTGCTTGTATAATGTAGTTCAGTCTGTTAAACTATGATATAATAATTTGGGTTAAATATGTGTTCACAATTAAGCAATATTTTAATATTGCATTGAGGTCCAGTAGATTGAATGACCATTATAGTGTTTAATATACATGTATTATATACATTTTATTGATACTTAAGATATATATGTATTGGTTACTGTAGTGTAGTTGAAATGGACATATCAGTAGCTCTCTGTATTTGCAGATGCTCTTTTCTAAAGCAGTTGACGTTATATTTTTTTTTGATGAATCGTCAGGATCCATAATTTCACGAAGGGATCTATTAGAATATGGTTTGACCAGAAAACTGCTGGAAATTAAAGTGTTGAATCTTTTGCCCAGGCCAGCCAACACAACCAGGCTATGTACTATGAATACTCTATCATTTGTATTTAGATATTGAAATCTCTTAAACTGAGTTAATAAATTTTTCCAAAATCCGAGCAAGAGTTAATTTGCTTACACAAATTCAGCTGGTTTTTAAAAGCAATATTTTTTTAAGAAAATGCACCATAAATGTATTTTCTTGTCAAAAAAAACAAAATTTGGAATGGGTTTATTGTGTTTTATAAACACCCTTGTATTTAAATAAATGTTTGGATACTGTTTGTATTTTAACATATTGCATGTGCTAGTTAAATTTAATGAAATAAATTCACGTTAGACTATATCTATTTAAAAATGCTTGTTCGGGTTATCATACAATGTATGTGTGTCTTTTTTTTGTATTTGATATTAAAATGTATATTTTTGAAATATTCTTTTTACAACTAAATCATTCCAACAAACGCTGCGTTAGAGATTTAAGAACTATACCATATTTGTTACAATAAACATTTGTAAGCTGTTTATTTACAGTTATTTCTTTTTATTGTTGAAGATCAGTTATTGTGATGTAAATTTATTGCAAAATATGTCATTTGATTAAAAAACATGAAATCTTAATTAGTTTATTGCCATCAGGAATAATGCCTAGTAATATGTTAAGTAAATACACATATAGTTCTGCGTGCCACGTGTGAAATTTGGGTTTGCAGTCGTCATGTGATGTAAAGACACACACCCATCAGGATCTAAAGTGAGTGTTGAATTTTATGGAGAAAAGTGATCTTATATCTTGAATTTTACTAGGATTTGCTTACATTTACCATTGAAAGAGTGGTATAATTACGCACGTGACGAAAGAGTGGTATAATTACGCACGTGACGAAAGAGTGGTATAATTACGCACGTGACGAAAGAGTGGTATAATTACGCACATGACGCCAAATGTCGCCTGAAGCACTTTTTGTGAGTTGTGTTTTTAAGTCACACTAACATTGTAAAGGTCAATATGGAGATTTTCCATCTTTACTGGTGGAGGAAGACATCAAGTGTGCGTCCCGTGTATTATTTCAGGCAAGAACGAACAACTGAGTAAAACTTTTTTACGACATTTCGTAAGCTAGCTGACCAGCTTCCACACATGAAAGAATTCAAAGTCCCAGGCAGTGCTGATAAATATGTTACCCTGTGACCATTCCGTTATTTTTTCACATTATTTATTTATATGTTTTCAATTTTAAAGTATAAATTCACTCGTTTTGATATAAACAAAACTTTTTATTACAACAGTTAAAGGTATGAAACACAACAACAGAAGTAGAAGAATGTTTCATCTCGGTATTTAGACTACTTTTATGTTTTTTCGAAACTGTAAACGTTTACGTGAGTGATGTTGTCAAATCATCCGACATTTCCTTTTTTTACGGTTCTTTCATAGAGGGTTTTTAAATACAAATATAATTTCTAATATTTAATACAGTACAATGCATGCCCGATTGTATTCAGTAAGAATATATTTTGTTGGAAATTTGCAGGTTTGCATTTATGTGTCTCAATCTAAGCGTTAAAGATAAAAAATAAACAGAAAAAAAACGTTAAGAAAAAGCTATATATGTGTCCATAATTTATGTTTGCTATACACCGAACCTATTCAGGACCATCTTGTGCTTTCGAGGTGCTCGGATCTGCGTTCCTTTAACTACAACCTGTGGTTGCGGACGCGTCGTGTCCGGTTTGGACTTGCCCACTTTGGGACTCGGTCGCGGAGATTCTATCCTTGCCGTCCTCTTTGTCAGCACTTGTGTCGGAGCAAACACACGCTATAAACTCTGAAATATAAAATACATTAAACTATTTTTGTACTTCTTCCAATATTCTCATTAGCAATATTACTGCCACTAATTGGGCAATTTTAGCATCGTTAGTGCTTTTAACAAGTGTAATTATCGCCGTAAATGATTCAACGATATTAACAATAATTGTTAAAAAACAAAAATAACATATTAATTTTCTGAATTGAAGGAGCGAACATTCCCTTATACGGTCACTAGCTAGTTTGCTAAGATGCCACCTGCATCATATATTGTGCATGATGCCCGGCTAGTTTATGAAAGTTAGAGATAACTTAAAACCAAAGCAGTGACTGTGTAACCGTTATCATGAAAAAAAGAAGACATGCCTGCATTTTTGGTTTACGAAAGGATTTATAAATGGCCCTAACTCAGCATGTTTTCGGCAAAGTACAACTTTTGGTTGATAGAAAGTATTAAAATGATGATATGAGCCGCGTCACGACAAACCCAACGTAATGCGTTTGCGACCAGCACGGATCCAAACCAGCCTTCGCATCCGCGAAGTCTGATCAGGATCCATGCTGTTCGCTTACAAACCCTGTTACAAGTAGAGAAACTGATAGTGAACAGTATGGAGCCTGGTCAGACTGGTCATAAACGCATTACGTGGGTTTTGTCGTGACGTGGCTCATATATTTTAAAGTGTTTTATATACCGTCATAATCTATTCTGCCGTCACCGTCAATGTCCACCTCAGCAATCATTTCATCGACTGTGAAATGGAAATTAAAGTTATGCTATTACAACTTATTTTTATAGTTATTAATAAAGAATACTTAAATCAATTTCATTTATCACTTTTGAGATTCCGTAAAACGGTATTGTACGGCCGCGCATACAAACATATAGCGATGTTGTTACATCGTTAATGAAAAAGTGATTCTTTGTTACTTTTTGGTTATATGATAAGTAGTCTGGCTTCATTATTAAATCTATTGAACTAGCCAGAGGCTCGCATAATATGATTTTATTCAACAAATACATTCAGTATTGAACTTCTAATCATTTAATATACTGTATTTATTATAAAGTTATCGAATAGCATATGATAAAACAGCAATTTGTAAATTACAATGTAATAAGTAATTAGTATATCTCTAATTCGCGAATACCATAAGGGATCGTTTTTATTTTGTGTCATTTTGTTCAAGTCCAATTATCATACAGTCTTAGAATTTTGTTCTTCAGAATTTTTTTTCAGATTTAAAAATTTTCAATTTTTCCAACCCGACTTGGGTTAAATTGTATGGTGTAGCAGAAAACTAGAATTTGGACCCAAACTAAAAGAATGATTTTTTTTTATATTTAAGACGCAACAATACTAACTAAAAAGCGATCGATATATATTAAGTGAAAATCTGTTTAATTTCAGTACTTTTGAAAATAAAATTTACTCGTGATAAATGTATAAAAAAATATGCCTTTAAAAATAAAAGAGATTTAAATTTTGAATTAATTAGTCCCAAAAAAATAATTAATTTTTTGGTAGCAGGGGATAAAGTAATTTTCGTTAATTTGGAACTACAACAATTTCAGTTTAACGATTTCTGAATCCAGCATTTAGCGACACAAATAGGAAGTTTTCTTCAATATTTTCCTTCGAATATTCCACGCAATGACGCGGTTTTCATCACTATTGCCACAGTTCGTTCAACCCGAAGAAGTCACAGTATGAAATTCATCCCAATCCAATCTAGAATCAACGTTTATCAACACTCATTTTTCCCAAGAACTGTTAATACCTGGAATATTATACCGGATTCTTGTGTTACTTCTGAGAGCCTGGAGGCGTTTAAATCTTCCATCCAGCTCGTTCCAGTCGTACCATCATATGTTTAAATGGTCAACATCTTGTAAAGTGTAAATACATGTTGGTCAACTGACTTTTTAAGGGTGTAGTGTGGAACATCAGTTTGTCAATGGGACAGTTGTGATACAATTGTGTAAAATAGTTTTAAAAATTTATGTCGGAACACGCCACTCTACACCGATGTACAGTCTTCACCTCCTCGACGTCGATGTCTACTTCGTGGATTTTGTCGAGAAACCCCGTTGAAGTTGAAGTTGAAGTTGAATTTAATTGCATTCTTTAACTACGTGGAATTTAAAGACGCAGACAACGCTATATTCATCACGAACACGGAAGTGCATAATACTTTAATGTACATATGAACCCGGTGACCATGAGAGCTTACGGAAATATCCGAAAAAGAACGACTGACATAATATATGTTCTATCTAATACAGCAATATACACATTAAAAGTACACATGGTTCCTTATTAAAAATCCGCAAATTTTGTCCACAAGAAAGATACACATACATACGTGCGCACGTACAAACTCTTAGTGAATAAACTTTTTCCTGTTACATTAAGAATTATCGACCCTTATCCCCTACTGCTACAGGAAAGCAACCGTCTAAAGTTGTTACCAATAACAGTAAAAATTATCAAGATTATCAAAACATATTGTTTCCTTATAAAACGAAATACAATATTTATTATGCACGAAACCGTGAAATGCCTTACTTTCTTCTTCTGTAAGATCTTCCCCTAGACATTGTAGAATTGCTCGGATATCCGAAGCGCATATGTAGCCACACCCAGATTTGTCAAAAACCTGCAAATACAATTCATTGAGAAGGCTACATATATACGATGTCTTTTAGCTCCGCCTGTTCTTTCAAAAATTCAATACATATAACAGTCTTAAAATTGAAAGCAATGTATAATTTCTTTAGATTATGAAATAGGTTTCGATTTGATACGTTCAATTTAATTAGATGTTTTGTTTTTGTGTTAGCCACGGCAAAATTCACTTTACCTTGGATTTTCTTAATATTGCCATGACCATCATTTTCTTAATTTTGCCATGGCAAACTTTTGTTTTTGACTTTGAAACATTATTCTTACACATACTCGTATTTTAGGAGCTTTTGTTATATTTTTTATTGAAAATTCAATCTTTTCTTATTTTGCAATGGTTATACAATGCAAAGATCATTGTAAAATTATTTTTGCCATGAAAGCTTGCCATGACAATTACTAGTAAATTACTTTGTAAATGGGTCGCAAATGTTCAGACTTTACTTAACAACATCAGGTGTCAATGCCGTGTGGCAGGCAGCTTAAAAAAGCCCCCGTACTATACTTCACTGTTGTTATATTTTGAGAGTCCTTCGGGATCATTGATTCAAACACTTTTAAGTGCCGCTTAAGCCGGTGCTTAGGGGCGTGAAGGATGTTGCACGTTTTCATTATTCCTCATGTGCAAGCACAAATAAACCGAGTGTGCAATTTTCATGAAATTTTGTTTTGAGTAATGCTCCTGAGGGATCACCTTTTCCCAATTTTTACTCCGGCTAATGTTTCTAGGGAGCGGGGGCCAATTTTCCGGATTCATTTATATAACAATGGCTTTACATAACTGCTGAATAAGTTTCCTATCGTCCTTGCATTACTGGTAAAATCAAATCTTCCCCTACGATAATGTTGAATTTGCAATTACAAAAACAAATCTGGAAATTAATAAATTTTCCGAAATCCTGACGTCTAATCATTATAAAAATGTATTATAGATTTCGTTTCACAGTAAACACAGTTACATTTGAACGCTATTCAAGCATGGGAATTTCGACTTAAAATTATTTTTTCTAATATATTTTCAAATATAAATGTAAATTCAGCACGTGTATTTCGTGCCTCACGATAGAAAAAGAACATAATACACGTATATTTTGTGTCTTACAGTAAAAGCTTGTCTCAACTCTTTCTCTTCGTCCTCCTCAGATTGTTCACTAAGTCCGCCCATGTTAGCCATCACTTGTACAAACTCTTCAAAACTAAACGTTCCATCACCTAAAACCGTAAAATAGTATTGATTTCTATAGTAATAATGTGATTAATGACTACAATCTCCATGAATGGACCAGCTATTTTCAATAACTATTATATTGTATAAGTAAGCATTATATTTCATTAAAATATTATACGGGTATATGGGTAAATCGCTTCTGTCCGCGCCAATATTAATTCAAGGACTTAATCGGAGACCTCTGAAATAGCTTTGTTATTCATAATTAGCAAACAATATTGTCAATCTCTTGAAGTATATTTTTTTAATGAAAACAAATGCGTGTACATTTGTTTACAAAGCAAAATGGTCGTAGAAAAATAACCGTCATTTTTATCATTCCAGTTTTTCTAGTTTAAAGGGTACTTTGACGTGACCATTGTTTTTCATAAACAATAAAGAAGAGACACATGACACATCGAGCGATAATTTTCAAGAAGTACAAGAAATTCAAAAGAAAAAAAAAGAGAAGCACACTTTATACGAGAGCTTACAAGTTCCATATTGATTCTGACTGCATTTAGAATGAATGAAATAATATTTGTAACTGTGGTATCTCGTAACGAATGAAAAACGCCATTTTGATCAACCAAAAATTATATTCACATATTCTTTAACCGCCCTAACAGACCACATCTTGCATAAAACATTGGAATTCTTGTTAATTGAATGCTGAAGAAGTGATCAAAGGATTTTGTGTGGCATTCTGAGATGCATCGGTACATTTGATAATAACACACTTTGCAAGAGTCGGTAGCACAGAAACTACCGCGATAAAGGTGACACATATCTACAATATCATTTATAAATGAAAGATACAATATCAATATAAATAAAAGATACAATATTATTCATAAACGAAAGATAAATATCATATATAAACAAGGGAATACGATAAAAACATACCATCAATGTCGATCTCTTTCAGCATCATATTCAGTTCGTCCATGGACGGAAATTGTCCAAGATTCCGCATGACGGTTCCAAGCTCTTCCGCAGTGATCGAACCGTCGCCATCTTTGTCGAACAATTTGAACGCTTCCCTTAGCTCTGTAATGGAGTACATCTTGAAATGTAATTTTAAATAATCATATCTACGACGTAGACGCAGATGAACAATGTTCATAATTATATGGATCGGCAATACAAAATAGAGATAAAGAAATGTCAAAGAGATAATACCAGAAGTGTCAATATTTGATATTTAACGCTAAATGCCATGTAACTTCATTTTGTTCGCACTCCAGTGATAAAATATTGTTTTCCGTAAACATGATTATATTGGAAATCTTGATACTGACTAAATGAACATCTGAATTAAAAATACAGAAAAAGATGTGCTCGAATTCAAAGGTGTCTTAACCACGTGACTTTTGTGATCTGCTTTGCACTGGAAACCAATGCAAATGTTGGTTCAGGCAGTGATGGTAAATCAAATAAGTGTTTACCACATGTTTGAAAATTTGATAAATTCACGCTGTTTTACTTTTCGGAACCTATACTGAATTTTTAAAAAAAATATTTATGTACAGTGTGGGGTTCTTATAAGAAAGAGCGCACTTATTTTTGAACATGGAAGGACTTTTAAGTCGTACATGATTGTTAAATCAGTCTTGTATTATACGAAGTGTCTTGTATTACTAGTATACGAAGTGTCTTGTATTTTACGAAGTGTCTTGTATTATACGAAGTGTCTTGTATTAAACGAAGTGTCTTGTATTATACAAAGTGAGCACTTCCTTCTAAAGTGAATTGCATGTGTTTACAAAAAAATCAAAGTCTTATTAGATGCCCCCAATACCCCCCTACACACACCCAAACATGGGCACTGGTTTTAATTGTTTAGACAGTAGTGCCGTGGAAAGAGGATATTTTTTACGGATATGCGTTTATAAATAAATGTTTTATACTTTTTAGAAAAGAAGAAGTGATAAGAAACTGATTCCTATAAATTCCTAAAATGGTCTGTTATCCTGAAAGTTAAACAATCTTTGCTAAAAAGTCACGTGGTATAGACACAATGGTTTATAAGAAAACAGCATTTAAGAATTTCATTATTGAGTTAGACGTGTACATTTGTACCGTACAAGACAACAAAACTATCAAGACAACTAAAAATAATGCCCTGATCTTGGATTCTTTTTTTCACAAGCACAAAATCATTTTTACACCTGAAAAAGGCTTATGCCGGTGCTAGGGGGCGTGGACGGTAACTTGCACTTTCCAGTACCGTCCATGAACAGGCTCAATCAAACCGAGCCTGCAACATTTTCAATTTTGTTGTGTTGGACTTTCTTTAGGGATTCTGTTTTTCTCTATTTTACATTTATTTGCACACTAATAATTTCGAGAGTTCTAAATGAATTACACTTCGCATAAATTGAATTATAGCTCTCCAAATCAGTTGATCTTCTCTGCAAATATTTAAACAGAGACTCTGTAATCGAGTTTATGTTAATTTGGCGTTCCACACTTGGAGAATTAGCGGATAGAATCAATATTCCTCTTGCTATTTCTAAACAAATTGAAAAGGTATAATAATCATTAAATTTTCGGTTTTCAGAGTTTTCATATGCAGTAATAAATTAAATTGAACTGGAAAATATCTGAACAACAACAAAATTTGATTTGCATTCATTCAGATGAATTAAATCATAATTAAAACCATTGTCAACGGTTGAAAAGTGTAAAATAAATATAATAATGTCAATCTAGACGTCAATCATAAAAGATCGTCTCCTTCCGTAGGCCTCGTATGTAGATAACGAGTACACCGTTGATAAGGCAGGGCTCGGTCTCGAGTAAGTAACTCCTTTAACTTTTTCAAACTTCATCTATGCCTGATTTGGAAAGGAACTTGACTGTTATCAATTTCACAATATCACTGTTATTCTTTCCTCCACTTTATAAATCAATTATATGTCTATCACTTTTGCCACAAAAGCGGCAAATGGGGGCTTCCATTTTACCATGTGACTGAAAGCAGTTCTAATACGCCGCCTTATTATGTCAACGGTATATTGCCGAGGAGGCCAGATTGACTGACGACAGTGTTTGATGAATTGGTTCTTAGCATGAGGCACTTACAACTCGCTTGCTTTAAAAAACAACAACAACAAATAAAAATCATACCTCGTATTTGTCCAGCTGAGTACTTGGACAGGATGTCCGAATCTTTCTGTAAAAGAAAGGAGAAGCGTATTTTTTCTTTATTTTTTTGTATACATACAGGTACTTTTTTAAATTTATTTTTACACTAGGATTTTCCTATAAAAACAAAATAGCTGACGGCGAGAGGAAACTCACACTATGTGAATGATGTGTACTCTTCACAATATAACAAAATTGACCAAAAAATCTATTCCTTTATTTACAAAGCAAACACTTTTCAAATATCTTTTAAAATTTGAGACCTTTTTCATATATTATCACATGTGTGTGACTCTGTGTGTGTGCGCGCGTGTGCGTGAGTGCGTGCAAGCGTGTAAATTATTCCGGCTAACATCCTTCAAATAAAATTATGTACAGATATGTGTAAAAGAACATATTTCATAAACGGGTAAAATCGCACAAGCATGTGCCGTTGTTGCATGTTTTTGTAGCATGCTTGAGTCAGGGCGCCAAAATAGCACAATGTAATTAAAGAGGTAATGCATGAAGTTGGTAAACAGGTAATAAAGAGGTTATGTATGGAGTTGGTAAAGAGGTAATGTATGGAGTTGCTAAAGATGTATGGTATGAAGCTGGTAAAGATGTAATGTATGGAGTTGCTAAAGATGTAATGTATGACGTTAATAAAGAGGTGATGTATGAGATTGGTAAAGAGGTGATGTATGAGATTGGTAAAGAGGTAATGCATGAAGTTGGTAACGATGTAATGTATGGAGTTAGTGAAGAGATAATGTATAAAGTTGGTAAAAAGATAATCTATAAAGTTGATAAAGAGGTAATGTATGGTGTTGGTAAAGAGGTAATGAATGAAGTTGGTAAAGAGGTCAGGTATGAAATGGGTAACGAGGTAATGTATGGAGTTGATACAGAGGTCATGCATGAAGTTGGTAAAGAGGTATTGTATTGAGTTGGTAAAGAGGTAATGTATGGAGTTGGTAAAGAGGTAAAATATTAAGTTGGTAAACTTGTAATGTATGAAGTTTGTAAAGAGGTAATGTATTGAGTTGGTAAAGAGGTAATGTATGGAGTTGGTAAAGAGGTAATGTATGGAGTTGGTAAAGAGGTAATGTATGGAGTTGGTAAAGAGGTAATGTATGAAGTTGGTAAAGAGGTAATGTATGAAGTTGGTAAAGAGGTAATGTATGGAGTTGGTAAAGAGGTAATGTATGGAGTTGGTAAAGAGGTAATGTATGGATTGGTAAAAAGGTAATGTATGCAGATGGTAAAGAGGTAATGTATGAAGTTGGTAAAGAGTTAATGTATCAAGTTCGGGATAAAGCACGTGATGGGATAAAGTCTTAAATATTGTCTGAATCCCACTCCACAATAGTGCAACTATCATTTGTGCCCACCCATTAAGTTGCATGTCTCGATATAACTTTTTTATCAAGAAAGAAAATGGTTTTCACGACAAACAAAACCTATTTGTATTAGCTCTTATTGGGTTTGTTTTAGAACTAACTGTAAATCTATGATGTCATCTGTTGTATTGACCAGCCAGTCTTGCCAGAAACAGAGAGATTTCTGAGATAATTCTATACAACAAAAAGCGATTAAGAGAAAAAATGTAGAGATTTATTTTGACATTACAATTAACAGCCTGTTAAGTAAAATGTCATAGTTTGCCCTGTAATGTTCAACATAACAACAGTTACTGTATTTGTTAAGCTCTTCGAAATGCTGTTCTTTTTGTGAAAAAGATACTTATACAAGCAATCAGATACAAACTTAATCAAAGCAAAACTATATAAGAGTCTTATTACTGTGTTAGAATTACTTAAAACTACAAAATATACACACATATACACACATAGAAATCTACAGTTTTTGTACAAAATATATGATATGATAGAATAATTATTTGTTAAAGTATTTCAGATATCTGCATATCCAAACAAATTTCTGATTTTAATCGTGCATGATAAATAAATTTACCTTTTTAGACATATCGCAAACTTCCTAGTAACAACCACTAAACTCTAGATATTTCGTATATATATAAAACTATAAACATGTATTTAAAGAGTCAAATAAAACACTACTGTTCGCTAATCCCTGGTGGTTTTTTACTGTAATTTACATCCTATGATTACTCCCGTGGTGTCGTCTGCTGTTTACGATTATCGTCTGCGTCACTAAAAATCTATCTATCGAACGCTTTATTTAGACAAAGCAGACGACACTGTTTCGTAGATAACATAAGAAAATTACGAAGGTCTTGTTTGAAAATAAAGACAACTCAAAGGTTAAGCAAATCCCGTAGGCTCAATTTTACATTACCAAGATTTCATAGCGTATAGACAGCGCTCTCGTCACAAAGGGCAAATAAAAGAATGGTAGACAAGAAAACGGAAATGTTTTCCAATATTCTTGTCCTTATCTGAATGAAAGAGAAATACTTATTCAATTTATTGCCGTTATGTCAGTAATTTCAACTTGACCCGTCTTTTAAATATTTATTTAACAATTATCCATAATGTAATATCAAGGCAATTTTAACACGATTATGTGATATACAGTTTCAATCATTGAAAAATCTTGCAATAAAATGAAATATTACATTAATTTTACAGTGATCGATTTAATTTGATTTTAATTAGATTAATCGCCCAATAGGATAAGGTAAATTGACGTGTAATTTAAGTGTGACGTCAGAAATATTATTATAAATATGATTTCTCATATCATTCATCATCATCATCAATAACTGTAATCGTTGCCGTTGATGACGATAAGGCCGATGATGACGTTTATGATAGTGTTGTTGGCGATGGTCGCTGTCGTCATGATATAATGTTGATCATTAAGATCCTGAAACTAATTGTCGCCTTATACAATAAACAAGATTTGACCATTTCTACCCGAACACCGACTGTCCTAAGCCAATCAGAATGGTCAGAATGGAGAATATAATAACACGTGATAACAAAATGGACGGCAAAAGACCTCAATCAAAGGGACGCCTACAGGGCCATGTTTTTTGCCTTGTTACGTATAATACAGGCTTGAAATACAAAATGTACGAACCGTGAAACCAATGTGTAGGCCCCTGCGGGGTAAACAATATTCAGAGTTATTATCATAAAAGATCGAAGAGACATTAGCTCTTTTGTTCAGGAAGGAGACTTTTTCATGATTTTATTTTCAAATAACTGATTGAACGATTCCTGGCATTTTACTTGTGTTGACATCAAAATCGACGTTATCATAATAATCTTATTCAGGATAGATTACTCGTACATTTTATGACATTTCACGCAGTGATCTCCGAACTGAGAAGGGGAAGTAGTGCTGTGTACGCATTTTGATTATAATAAGAAAGCGTTATTTCCCTTGTTACAAAAAATAATTACTTCATGATACTGGCGTTATAAATGGAATCATTGGCCGTATAAATGGTATCATATATTTTCATGGACATTTAATACGCTGCTTAATTGAAATAAAAAGTGGGAAAAGGTAGAGTAACGCGGGAAAAGGCATGCCTTTTCTTGCATACAAAAATTAAGGAGGGCGGACAATTTTTAGATTTTCATTTCTATAGGAAAAATCAATTTCTATAGGATGTAATATAAGACTAGTATGTCGCTAAATAGAAGAGTAGAAATATTAATTAAAAGTCAATATCTTTAATTTATTTTCAAATGATTTATCCCATTAACGCCCTTTCATGCATTTGTCGTTAAAAATGGAAACTTATTTATACAAATATAAAATCTATAATTGATTATGACATATGATACATGTATTGTATATTTAGCGTCTGTTAAAGCTACTTTACAATCAGTTTTAAAAAAAATATTAATAATAGTATGCAATAAAAATTGAATTATACGTATAAACACCTTTCATAGCCTAGAATTGCAACGTATTTCACATTCGATGATAAGAGGAAAATTGTATTTATTCTCTATTTCGTAGCGTTCTTTTAGGGATTCCGTATCTTTTTCGGGGGATTCCGTATTCTGTAGCGTTCTATTGGGGATTCCGTAGCGTTCTTTTGGGGACTCCGTAGCGTTATTTTAGGGATTTCGTAGCGCTCTTTGGGGATTCCTAAGCGTTCTTTTAGGGATTCCGTAGCGTTCTATTGGGATTCCGAAGCGTTCTTTTAGGGTTTCCGTAGCGTACTTTTAGGGATTCCGTAGCGTTCTATAGGGATTTCGTAGGTGTTCTTTTAGGTATTCCGTAGCGTTCTTTGGGGATTCCAAAGCGTTATTTTAGGGATTCTGTAGCATTCTTTTAAGGATTCTGTAGCGTTCTTTAGGGATTTCGTAGCGTTCTTTAGGGATTCCGTTTCTCTCTATACCAGGCAGTACCGCGAATATGACTTTCTTTCAAGCTGAACTATAAACAATGGTTCTGTGTATGAACAAAAAAGGCATGTCAATTAGAAGACTGCTAATCACCAGATAAACATATATATTTTATTTCAAATCACATATTTATGTAGTCTAGACTTCCAAGTTAAATCCACTAATAGTTTCTTACTACATCAGATATTCTACGTGTATGTACCTGTAGTGGCCGTATAATTGTACACAAAAAGAGTTGATTTGAGATAACATGTTGTCATTCAATGAATTATCGAAATGACATCACATTTATATGTTTGAGAATGCATGTATGCAACCACATGTTAACGTATGCTTAACTATATAGTAAATTGAGTGTCACTCGACTACCCGCAGCTTGACGGAAAAGGGCGAAAAAAATGCATTTGGATTGCAGGTTCAACTGTTTATCTAAAGTTATTATTACCAAACCGCATATGTTAAATGTAATGTATCCTTTAAACGTACGAATGATCCGAAGTTATTTAACTTCTTTCGTTCACACTTTGAGAGATGATTTTATACTATCTTGTGAGAAAATATATACAGAATGTTGCAAATAACACGCAAATATATGTAATACATATATGCCCTATATCAAATCGGGAAAATTGAAACATGAAAATTTTGAACAGAATTTAGTGAAATTACAATGGCATTCAACTTCAAAGAATAGAACACACACACGCACACACACACACACACACTCACACACGCACACACACACACACACACACTCACACACACACACACACACACCGCCATGAGCTTATATTGTTGTCAGGTCTGCAGTTCATGCGAATATGAAATAAATGACAATTTTACATTAGAATTTATAAAAACTGATTAAATAAATAAAACTAACGGACCGAGTCGTAACATCTTCTTTTTGCTAAAACTATGCCACTTCACAACACATAGATAGAATTTTATTTTATAATTTACGCTATAAACTAGGATATTTATAAGCCAATATTAATGATAAATGGTGATTTATAACAGTAAAAATACGTTACAACTTGGGGTATGGTAGAAAATTTAGGCTATCATAATGTCAACAACGAAACTTCAAATGTAACCATGCTGTTATAAAACTATTCCCGGTGTCAATGCTTAACTCCTTAACTCAAATAATAAACGCCCTCTGATTTGTTTATTCTTCCTTTTTTTTTTTTCAAATTAAATTTAGAAGATAGATCTGGCTTAAAATGGATAAGTTTACAATGGGCACATTGTCCAGAAGCATTTCAAATACTCATAAAAACTATAAAAATGTACCATTTTGATATTCTTATAAATTGATGCTTGAAAAAAATATTGATATTTAGAATGAACATTTATATGATGAATAATAATATTTTGTTCTAGAACACTTTTTTATCTGCTATATAAATGTTTGTAATATTGCTAACAACGCCATTGAGATTTTTTTTCCGTGGCTTGTCGTTATGTATAACAACGTAATTATTCATTATATTACAGCTCTACCATTATATTGACCGTGTCACTTTAAACCCGACAAAATATGTTAATCCCATAAATACTTATTCACACACATTTCCAAAACTAGTTTTAATCATTTTTATTGAAAATTGGCACATTTTACAATCTTGTAGAACATTATAAATTTTATGTGATAGCTATAATTGGGACATGCACTGCCTGACTAGTATTAAAAATAATGAATATCTATAGTACTTTATAATTTTCTAAAATTCAAAATATCCGTCTTTAAAATTAATGTTATAGACAAAGAAAAAAAATATTTCAGAAATTTAAAAATTATTGTAAATATATTTTTTATTTCCTTTTTTTTTGTATTAGCGAGCGCAGTTTTAATGTGTGATCATATTAAGTAAGCTTGATATGTTCTCGCAGAAAAAAAGAAAAAATCAGAAGTGTTATAAGTGTTTAAATAATTTGTGGATATCCAACTAACATCTATAAAATTATAAACCTAAAAATTGAAAAGTTTTGAAACAAATTAAAACAAGAAGGTAAAAACTTACATATTGGGATAAATCTTCCTCGCTCATGGTAAGATATTATAACTATTATCCAATCCGACAATCACTGGGGTATAACAAGAATTTTGTGGTGTTTAGCCTTAAAACCGATCGGCAATCGGACACCCGTCAATAAATTTGTAAATAAAACTACAGCTGTTTTGCAAAAGTCAGTTTTAAACTAAAAGTTGCGATCGAAGAGAATATTATGAAAAAAGCTCTATTTTTGTTCATGAAATATCTGTTTTTAGTGGCAGGCAATGTTTGGTCTATGCGGTTGTCATTAATTAAACAAAGGTTTATGCTACGACACCTGCTTGACATTAAAAATGCACATTATTTTATTTCGGGCGTAATTATTTTAAGTTCATATCCCACATAATATAGCTAATTTGGTAATAATAATAATAATAATAATATTAATAGTAACAATAATAATACAATGATTACATCTATCTTGATTTTGCTCATGCATATTTCATGATTTAACAATTTTGAAAGTTTTTTAGTGTTTTTTCAGTAATGATAATGAATATGACCTTGATGATGATGACTTTGTCCTGTTAGACAAAAATACTATAATAACCTCATAGTATTTACAAGAAAATATTAACTCTGGTTAATTAAAAACAAATCCATCTAAACCCTGATATCTCTACCCTTAACATCCCCGAATACCGTATTTTCAGATTTCCACAGCGTTTTGTTACGGGACGTTATTTGCGTTTTTTTTTACCTCAGAATGGGCATGAACAGTGATATGGTTCGGGATAGTTTAATATGGAAACGTTTGAGTTATAGGAGTAATTATAGGAGGCAATTAACTATCACACTATTTGTCTACGGCTAGGTATTATAGTTCCAGCTATCGATCGCTGCCATGCTACTGTTTGTCTAAGTTATCCACTTCCAGTAATTTACTAACTAAATTTTTCCCGACACAGTCTACAGGAAATTTTCTTCTTTTTCTCACGCAGCTAAGAAAAAAGAAATCAAGTAACACAATTTCATATAGAATAATCTCAAACGGTTGACATAGATTCGGACATGCTTGTATCACTAGCAAAAACAATGGCACCTACCATTAAGAAGATCTTTTAGCCCCCGGTTCAATAGCTAGGGAGAGCAAGTTCTTTCTGATCTGTCTGTCTGATTGTAACAAAGTAACAAAACTTGACCGTTAAACGAAAGTCCTCCCACCTACAGCCTCCAAAATTTCACATGTCCAACTTGATAAGCTCTACATGCAGTACCTACATAGAGGTCACGGGGGTCAAGGTCACCAGGGTAAATCCTCCAAGGATGTGACAGAGCCCTCGTAAATTTGACACAGTCAACACAACCATTCAATACGTGTCTATATAATGGTATTATGCCGATTTATATTCATTGATATGAGATAGGTCCTTAATTATATCTGTAAACGTATAAAACGTACCATTATCATTTCTTCCTCACTAATTGGATGACTTTCAAGTGAAAATTGTTCTTTTAATGTTTTCCTTGGTGTAGAATGTTAAATTTGCAAAAATAATGTATTTGACAAATATTATTTGAGTAGCTTCTTTGGAACTTGATCTTTGGATGCGCAATCTTTTATCGGTTTTCGCCAGTGTGATACGTCGAAGATCCATTCTTTGATTGAATTTCCATTGTTTTGACAGGTAACTTTTAAATAGTGATGAATTGCTTTAGTGAAATGTACTTCGCGCTACAATCAATTAAATACAAGTATTTCATTTGGTAAAAGTTCTAACAACATCACATTGAGGTATTTCTTATCAAAATTGCATCCAAAATGATGAGAGAGAAAATGTTCTACGTGGCAAAGCATTCTTGATTTGTTAATAACAAGCATGTTCTTTTAAATCCGATATTTGTAGGAATTATGTGTACCTTTTCCAGCTTTGTTTCCCTCGAGGACACTTTACAATGGAAGTGTCGAGGACTGTCATTTCAATAGGTCACCAAATTGTGAAAGAGCCAGCGTTTAGTAGGGATGTAAAAAGAAAGGACCAAAAAAAAATGCGATTGTAAACTAACAGGAGAGCAAACACACTACAATCGCGATTGTCAATTTGATACCGACTGCATATTATATTTCGCAATAGACTTCTGATATAAAAAGGCGACATATTGGAGCGAATTACAGTCACATGGTAAATTGGGTGGCTTCCATGTGCCACCTTTGTGGCAGAAGTGATAGAGATATGTTTCTTTTAAACAGAAAGAGTAACATTAATATTTTCAAATTGATAACAGTCAATGTCCGTTCGAAATTAGGCATAGGCTAAGTAGTAAGTTTGCAGAAGTTGTATGAGAACGTATATTGCGTCCTACGTACGGGACCATACGAGAAGAGCCGACGTGTTCCGGATAGACTAGATATCCATATTTTAGGTACTTGTGACGGCAAGTGCTGACGAGCTTCCGTCATGTTTAAACGACAAACAGTTGATACAACATAACACAAAATCTCATATCGCTGTGATTAATTAATTTATTATAGTCAATATGTATAAAATTAATCATAACATAAAAATTGGGAAACAATTTCTAAATAAATAATACACGAGTGTTATTCGATAAACAGTTAATAAATGAGAATAATGAAGCTGTGTAGCAATTATCGAGAATGGCTACTTAATCTAAACCTGGTATATGGAGTTTAAAGAGGAAATAATGTAATATGATCGTTATTGATATTTTGTTATTTAATATTATCAATAAAATAAATATATCTTTCTCATACAACATTTTGGATGTTTATACTTTAAGCATTTGAGAATGCTTCCCTGGCCAAATTTTATCTGGTTTTCCGTTTCAAGTGAACTTTTTTTATATCTGTGATAATAACCCATTTTATAGCACATCGTTTCCATGTATCATTTCAGTTTAGTGAAATTGTTAACTATAGTCTCTATCTATTATCATTTATTATAATTTTTAGGCGGCTACGCATTGTCTTTTAAATTCGTATACACACCAGTAATTCGCCCTGATATAAGTATTAGTTTTTAGCACGTTTTGGTCTGTATGTGTGCAATAACAACTGTTTCTAACAAATTAGTAACATTTAAGTTACTCATTAACTATATGTTTTTTTCATTTTGTTACAATTAAGCCTAGTAATATTTAATTCCGAACATTATTTTACAAATGTATAAATTTTAACCATTCCTCGTTATCCTTATTTCTTTGAATGATATTCGCTTACTTCTTTGTAATTCATATTTTTTTTAATAACACTAAGCAGAAAAAAATATTAAATTCCCTTAAAGTACTGCACCCGTTACATATCATTTCCACTGTCAGATACGCATTAAATTTATCCAAGGAAGTTGATGAAAACGCTCGTGTCCTTGCCTGCTTTCTTATCAACTGCTTTCACGATAATCTCAGTACCACTAAACGTCATAGACACGAGAACCTCTCTTCCAGGCTGCTCCTCTGGATCCGGAAGATCAAATTTCATGTTGCCAATTAGTAAACATTCAGTGGTATATCTTGGGTTACATTGTTGTGTGGCAAAAATTTTAAAAGATATTTGACTTTGGAATTTGTGACTTGTAAAGTAAGTCTTTTCAACTTGCGGTTCATTACATTTGACGATTTGCCCCTTTTCAACATGTTTACTGAAAACTCTACATCTTTCACCAGTTGCAGTTATAATCTTCAAATGGTCTGGGTCAGTTCCTTCTTTAAATGGGTCAGTTGTATCAACACCGTATGTGTACTTCAAGACTCTTTCCCGTATGGATACCGGACTATGTCCATAAACTAAAGCTCCTCTTAGAATGGTTGATGATGCACCAATTGGTATCACAACATTTATATCGGAGAACTCGTTTTTTATTGAGTGTTGAAGCAAGGCAGACTCTGAATAACCACCTACCATCAAAATTGTTTTTATCTTTCTTACGTTTTTATCTCGAAGTAGTGTTGACACATGGCTAATGACTTTGTTAATGGAACATTCGAAAAGACTCTTGAACAGACTGGCGGAAAATTTGATTTTGTCTTCACCAAACTGAATTTCATCGGCGTATTTTGAAGCTTCAATAGCATCAAGCAGTTTCCCTTTAGTGCATCCTTCATAGGTGCGTCCGAACGATAGTGGGAATTTCATATTAATACGAGCAGTTTTATTGGGTGCAACTAATCGCTTCTTTACTTCAAAATCACGCCAAAGGTCAAGCCAGTCTTCCGTTTCCGTTCGTTTAAATGTATCATAAACCTCTGGCCCAGTCAGATCAATAAGCAGATTTTCGAAAGCTTTGTCAACTAGGATACCTCCCCACCCACCACCACTTGCTGATTGGATCTCTTTAACGCTGTTCTCACTGACAACCTCGTGTACCGTTATGTCTATTGTTCCACCTGAAAAAAACATGGATACGTTGAAAGAAAACTTAAAAAAAGAAAAATAAAGTGGTTAAATCTAATATCTTACAACCATTTATATATCTTGTAACTCAATTTGTTATGGTTTTATGTCATAAATATAATGCTCAAATGAAGATTTATCAATATTGTAATTTCCAAAAAGCATTTTTATTTTTTGGTAAAGATATTACCGAATTTACATTTTCATGTTTTCAACAAGAAATGAATGCATACATTTTAATGATTACATTTAATGTGTACAAATATTTGCAGTACATATTTACATCTTCTTTGATGTTTGAAAATGGTTTTAGAGGCATAATTATATATACATATATGAAATTTCACTTAAGTGTGGTAACAACCTTAATAACAACATCTATGATCTTTAAGTAAGCTATTTCGATGGTAAAAAGGATTCTTTGACCAACACACTATGTGTTTTCACTAGGATAGTGAGTGCCTTTTTCGTAAAATTATTATGATTTTCCAAGTTCCCAAAAGTAAGCATGGACCTGGAGGCATACTGCTTTAAAACCTGCGGGGGCGCGGAGCGAAATTTAAGAAATAAAACGCCAGGGGCGCGGGGCGAAGTTTAATAAAATAAAACTTCGCCCCGCGACTCCGCCAAGCGAAAAGTCGAGATTTAACAAGTTAAAATGGCGTGGGGCGGGTCGAAAACACGAATAACAAACATCAACCACCATAGATGTATGCTACTGTATCAATAGTAAGCGATACTATTTCAAGACTACATAAAAGTAATAAAAGCACACCAATAACGTATTATTGTAATGTGATATCAAGTCAAGTCACTATCAGCTTCAGACTATGACCCCGCTGAAAATTAATATCGTTGTCTTATACGAAATTGCATGACGTTAAGTTATCACCACTTTGCGCTTCAAAATTAACCCTTTAAGAGCATTGCTGGTGACATGTCCGGGATCCGTACTCAACAGCCAAAGCTGCTTTTTGTTTCTTTACGGCAGAAGGGCTCTCATTAAACATAGAACTTAGTCAGTCTTGGGAATGCCCAGGTATTTTCCGATTATTTTGTAAATTTATAAGCGAAATACAATGATCCATTGGTCAATATCTTGGCATACATTTTTATACGCCCGTTTGAAAAACTTGTCGTATTATAATTCCCCCCCTCCCCCCACATTGCGGGCGGGCGGCGTTTTGTTCGGAGCATATCTCCTACACGCTGGAATTTTAATAACTTCATAGACATGTTCATCACTATGAGAAGCAGTGTCATGCGCATAAGCCAGGTCTCTAGGTCAAAGGTCAAGGTCACACTAAGAGGTCATTGAAAAACGCTTGTCCGGAGCTAAACTTCTACATGCATAAAGGGATTTCAGTATAACTTGGCACAAATGTTCGCAATTGTAAGGCAGAGTGTCACGTGCAAATGTTAGGTCCCTGCGACCAAGGTCAAGGTCCACATAGGGGTCAAAGTTCAGATAAAAATATAAAAATGTGTATTAGGACCATTAAGTCATCATTGATTCAAGGATTGAAGCACAAATGGTAATTATCATGACTACTGGTGTGAAACATGTAATTTAGATTAGAAATTGAGATTTTGTCAAGAGCATATCTCCTACACGCATTGAGGAATTTTAGTGTCATACATCTTCAAACTTCTACATGCATAGAGGGATTTCAATATAACTTGGCACAAATGTTTACCATGGTAAGGCAGAGTGTCGCATGCAAAATTGAGTACCCTGCGGCCAAGGTCAATGTCACACATAGGGGTAAAAGTTCTGATAAAAATGTGTGTTCGGACCATTAAGTCATCATTTATTAAGAGATTGAAACACATTAATGGTCATTATCATGACTACCATTGTGAAGCTTTGTGCACATAATCCAGGTCCCTGTTACCAAAGTCAAGGTCACATAAAGAGGTAAGTTTGTGTATGGGTACCATTTTTTGATGGATTATAACACAGATGATAACTATCATGACTACAAGTGTGACACGTGTAATTTAGGTTAATATTTGCAAGGTTAGGGTCACTAGAGATGACAAAATATCCAGATATTGTCCAGATATTGCCCAGATCATATCGTTTATATGTATTTCTATAATGCCCACATCCCTGACAAAAGTTTTTGTAGTGGGCGTATTTTGCGACAATGTTGCTCTTGTTGTATTTTACATGGTCCACCTACCATAAATACGTGTATAGGCTATATAGTATTTGAATCACTCTCGGGTCCGTTTTGTAGAAATAAGAAATACTGGTATCATATGCTAAAACATGGTTGTGACTCAGATTAATATAAATGTACCATACCTCCTGCATCGAGAACCATGTATCTAGTTCCAACAGGCATCTCCGTTATTGATATATTTCCACCAGCAATGGCAGTGTGAACAGATAAGTGGCGGCAGAATATCGATGCGGCTTCTGGTTCAAGTGCAATCGTCAATTTGTTTGTTACAAGTCCAGCCTGGAAAGAAATATGCATACATAAAAAGTTGAGCTTTAAACATATTTGGCGAAGATATATACCCACCCAGATCACTTCTACTTGCATAAGTTTATAAAAAGCATACCGCACTTGTACCCATATTCTTTTTGTGGTTGAGGTTTAGTTGAACTCCAACACACAATTTGAATCATAAATCATTTTATTGTTCATGTTCCAGTCATATTTGTACAACATCCCCTTATAATTTGATATAATATCAAATGCACCAGTCCTGTTCTGAAAAAAGCATATTTGCAAACGCTAGAAATACTTTTTATTTGTCTAATATGAATCTAAACAAAAAACACTGAAATAGAAGTGTATTTATAAGAAATTTTCCAGCTTTTAAGCAATAAATAAACAGAAAATAATAAGGAATATTCTTTAAGGGGAAGGTAATTCGGAAAATATTGACACTAGAGTTATTAACCTTGTCATATTTTATTATTATTATTATTATTATTATTATTATTTTCATCATCATTATTATTTAAGAGTTAATATAAAACAAAAAATTAAATTTTAAAGTAAATCTTAAAAAAAATAAGAAGTCAAAGCAAAAAAGTAACAATTAAAAAAAATCAAAGTTCAAGGGGGAATAATTCCGGAAATATTCATGCTAAAGTTATGAATCTTGTGGCATATGATGTGGGTGATTATAAGTATGAAATATTTGAAGCTTGAAATTAGATACCTTAAGAAATGAAGATGTTATAGTAAAATAAAACATTTACAACAAAAATTGTTAGTTCAAGGGGAATAATTCTAAATTAAATGTGTGTTTGAGTTATGAATCTTGTCACACATTATGTGTGTGATGATAAGAAATATATATTTGAAGTAGATACCTTAAAAAATAAAGAAGTTACAGTGAAAAATGATATTTTCCAAGGAAGAGTTTTTTGAATATTTACAAGCAGTCAAAGAAAAATATCTATCTAAAAATTTAGTTCTTTTTTACTATTGAAGATTTATTACAATGTTGATATGACAAATACATGATCTGATTATTATTTACACCCAAACAATAAACTCTGATGATTATTTACACCTAAAACAAACACACATCATTTATCAACCACTTATAAGAAATATCTGTCCACGTCTTTTATACGAAACAATACTAGACACCTGGCGAGCCCAATCTCTAAACAACTTATGATCAAACGAAACAATAAAATCCCCACAAAATGAAGAACACAAAAATGAATATTTTTTTTTACAACTCTAAGATACAGTATAAACCACAAACATTCAACCAACAATATTAACTTCACAAAAACTAATTAGCATCAGAAAAGCAAACTAAAGCACCAAATATTTACAGATATCCTCAAAACAAAGCATCAACTAATATAATCTTGACCAGACAAACATTCAACCAGTTTGAACCAAATATTTATTACGTAACAGATATAACTCAACAACCAAAACAACTAATTACAACCAATAAACCCTGATCAATTAAGATCACAACAATTGTATTCAACCAACTTCATCAAATCAACAAAACTCCCTTCAAAACAACACATTTTCTTCTCAACAAAAAAAACAACAAAAAAACAAAAAAAAAAACAACAAAAAAACGCTACACACTATCAGCGTGTCTCTCCTAAACTGATGTAAAATCTCTCTCAAAACTCGCATATTTTCTGTTTTAACGAATTTGACATTTACATGTTTAATATACGAACAGCAACAGGTTTACATTAAAATTTGAACACTTCAGTGTATCGCTATAGGAAAACATTAACACTTTGTAAAAGAATTTCTACAGTGAAATTGTATGATTATTCTGACAGGGGCCTCAAGATAATAAATCGTGGCCACGGGATAATAAGTTATGGCTAAAAGATAAAAAAAATACTGCAAATGTAAATTCTATGACACTGTAAACATACTTAACATCACTTTATATGAGGAGCAAAAATCAATTAACATAAGCAACGTAAGAAAGAAAACAAAATTTATACTTCAACTATTTCATTACACCCTTTCCAATTTCCCACGATATCAAAAGTACCATCATAGTGATTTTCATTATTTGAAATTCAAATGTCAAATGACCACAGGCTTGTGAGTAAATATCTGATCGGTATCATTTAAGTAAGGCTTAACTTTGTTTGTTTAATTGAAAGAGAGGGGGGAGAATGACATAAAAGTAAATTAAACTTATACAAAATATAGAGGAAACGAATATAACCTGCACCGCGGCCTCTCTCATAAATTGTTTGGCAGCATCTGTCCATATTGCTGGGACGGTAAGAACCCAGTGGACTTCATCTTTCTCAATAGCGGATGTTAGTTTATCATTAACACTCTTCATCATATCTCCTACTAGATATTCGATTGCCATAGCAAAAACGTTTATCGCAATCATCGACTTTCCCATCTCATCCTCTATTGTCATGCCGCGGTCCAGTTTCTGCAGTTTAAAAATCAATCTTTTTAAAACACCAACCAACAATTCCTTAATCACAAGTTCATTGTAGCATGTATATTGTTATCTATATACATTTTTTAAGGAGATAAACAAATGGTGTCCATTCCTTTTCCTGACATTGTAAATCGAAATTCTGATCATGATACACAAAAGGTAGAGATATATTAGAACAGTCAATCAACAGTTACAAGTACCTACCTCACCAAGCTTTTTATTAAGTGCCATCTTAAATCTTCTGAAGTAATAATACTCCTCGTGCATTTCATTGTCTGCAAGTTCCCTGTATTGGTTTTCAGCATCATATCCAAACGCTTCAAGGGTCTTTCCATCTGACTTTATCAACAAACACGTGGGTGCTTTTTCTGTAACTAGAGTTCCACTAGAGTGCCATTGCTTGACAGTCGCTTTAGTAGGATCCGCTTGAAAATCATGCAGGAAGGAGAAAGCCCAGCCAGAATAAGTTGTGCCAAAATCTATCGCCCCGACGAGCAAATCCCTTGTAGCCTAAAGAAAACAGGGGGAAATGGTCATAGCAGATTTTAAACAGTATTATATTATGTTGAAATATGTATTATTGTTAAGATACCCTGCGCTATAAAACTTATATGTAAATAAGCTAATTTAGATGTAGAAATGTAAAAAACTGAAATAGGAGAATGGAATCTCCGACCCGAAGAAGGGGAGCGATGGCCTAGTGGATAAGATGTCTGCCTCTCAACCCTGGGATGGATCATGGGTTCGAGCCCTAATCAGGTGACGACTATATGTTTCTTCATATGGCACCAGTACTGGTTGGTTGCAAAATTTTGTTTCGCATTGTAGCTTAAATAAATATGTTTAATCCAATCACGAGGAAACATAAAATAAAACGATAATTCATACAAGAAAATATAAAACCTTGCTGACATAAACATCATTGTTATTTCTTCGATATTAATGTACGTATTCAAAGTCAAAAAAGGTCGAAATATTCATCAAGCATAATATTAGATGTTTAGTTTGTTAGAAAATACATACCATGTCAAATGACCTTATTCGCACTTTCTCTTTCAATCAACCAGGAAGATAATTGTCATATTCGTTTTCCATGAATTTACACTATGAAATCTTTGTGTACAGCCAGTATTACAATTAATTTTTGAATGTCATAAATTAAGTCAAAGTATAATCAACAAATAGAATTATGATATAGTTTGCAAAATAGAAAACACATACCATGACAAATGGCCCTCTTATATTCTCAGTCACTTTAAATCAACCAGGAAGGAAATGTCATATCCGTTTTCCATGAATTTACGTGTTAAAATTATTTTCCTTAATCAGTTTCAGTTTCAGTTTTTATTAAACCAAGGCATATAATATGCAACTTGTTATAAAAACAAACAAACTGAAAAATAACAGTCAAAAATCACTAATATCACAATATAAGAATACAATGATGACTAGCTAAATAAACAAAAAAGGAGATCATATTGCTCATTTCAAGTACTGAATTCAATGCAACATGTATTTTACATTGTAACAAATGGGAACGGAGAATGAGAAGTATTAATTATCTAAATTTTAACATATTAATAATGTTTTTACAAAATAAAGATAATTTTAGTAGAACTATTCATTAATGTGTTTAAAAATATAGGGTTGAATGTAAAACCTGGGAAAAAGAGATTTACCCTTTATGTCATTAAAGTACGAACATTGAAATAAGTAGTGAAATTCATCACCAATAGCTTGATACGGACATAAGGAACAAAGCCTTTTATTATGATCAATTGCCAAATATCTGCCTGTTTCAATTGGTAATAGGTGATTCATTGTTCTAAATTTACATAAATATTTGCCTATGTAAAGGAAGTACATCTAGATATATTTCAAACAATGAGTATTTTTACGATTCACTAAACACTTAGAGGACAAAGACAACATTGTTTTATAAAGAAGTTTACATATCTTATTTTCCTTAGCATTAATAATTTTACTCCAGAAACACAAAACTCTTGCTTTCACTTGTAAGGCTAATGGGAATATGCCTATCTCACCATAAACGTGAAGGTCACTACCACATCTACCATTAGCTATCAATAAATTTATGGACTTGCATAAGTCAATCAAACGGTTACGAAAATTGTTTACATTACTACTATCTTTGGAAGATCTATCCAATGCAATACCATTATTTAACAGGTTAACAACAGAAAAGTTTGTATCCAATATGTATTTGTCAAATTCAATATAATCTTTAAATGTACCTCTTTTAGCATTAAAATCACCCATCAAAACAAAACTGACTTCACCATACATAGTTATAATATCAACAATATTATTTTCAATCTTGTCAAAAATTTCAATATTTATACTTATACCAAAGACAATTTTCTGTACTTAGTTCTAAAACCTGACTATTATCAGCCAGATCATTTGTAATAAAAAAACCCAACTCTTCCAGATTTATTCTTATTTTTTTACGATTTTTACCAAAGTAGACATAACCATCTAAACAAGGTTGGTCAAAGTCATCTAATTTAGTTTCAGCAAAATGAAAAACATCACATGTTTTTACAAAGTCTACACAATCTGGATTGTTTAATTTTGAAACAAGACCACAGACATCGACAAAATAAATATTAAGATATGTATCATTATCAACAGTACAAATCCTTTCTTCAATACAATAATTATGGTCAGATATAAAAGTTTGAATATTTTCCACGACATCACTACTATGCAAAATCTCTTCATCATCCTCCTGCACATCCTATAGGAAATTCTGTAACCCTAGCTCCTTCATCATTTCCTCACTCTGGTCAACCTTCAGTACGCCAAAAATATCATCTGTGGATGTCAGTTGATAGTTCTTTCCTTTAAATTTACAGTGAACATTCCCATCTCTAAAGAATGTTGCCTCCACACCAGGAATATTAGACACCACTGCCTTCAATCTCAAACGTAATGGAGTAACATCATCCATGATGTAAACAGATTTGTACATATCCTTAGAAGAGGATTTCAGATACTTCTTGTATTTGTAGACCATCTTCACCGACTGTCGTGAAACAAACCTTACAATAACTTGTTTCTTCTTGCCATTCCTAGGTCTTGTAAAATGACAATCACTGATGTCTGCCCTAGAGAAAGATATAGCCTGTTGTTGACTATTTGCTCTACTGTTATGGCCATCAATGCTACTAAATAAAGATTGTGATTCACTATCTTCTGCTGATTCATTACCAATTCTTACAATATGATTTAACATATCAATCACACCATCAATCAGGTCACCAGATGGTTCTAAGTTCCCTATCCTGATTTTTTCTCTTCGAGAATACTGCTCAGCACTGTCCAACTTGTAATGATTTACAAGAACCTTTGTCTTCATCTTCGTAAAATCAGCCTGACTAACACAGTCTTTAATCATATCCTCGCGCTTATCAATTATTGGTGCACAGACAGTACGTTTTACATTATAATTTTAAGGTTATAAATACCACAATCACAAGGGGGTCATACCATGCGCGCGCATCCTCAAAATCCTGATTACGCGAACATTTGAACAAAAACGAGCCATGTAAAGCAATCAGAATAGATTTGAATTTAATTTATTTTGCAAAGAAGATGTTCTTGCCTCTAGTTTTAATATACACAAGTCTTCCCTTTCTTGTCAGTATTTTGCGTTGAATGCGATTTTGATTCTGGATAATGTGTACACCCGGCGTTGAATGTTACAGAAATTGAGAAATTGTCGATAAAACTGAAAGTTTTACATAACTGGAAGTTATTTTATTGTAGAACCTATTTCATAAATTTATTTTGAATCTTTGTTATTTTTCCTTCGTACGAAAAAAGTTCCTCAGATGTATGTCTATGTTGTTTTATACTGATTTGGTGACACTTTTGCTCGTGTCTCTTGTTGTTTCTCGTCTACGGTAAGTTTTTCCCCTTGTCCCTAGTTTTTATTTATTTTATTCCCCCTCCTTCCCCGTGTCTCATGTCCCCTTCCCCTGTGCCTTTTGACATAATGGGCCTTATACTCAATCATTTATTTGTTTTGTTTTAATTCCTTATAAGTTACTAATTATGTATTCTGATGTAGTGGTTTGCCTGCCCGTACTCTGTCTTGTGCCCTGTCCTGTTTTTCTTTGGAGTCCTCCTGGGCTCCTTGCCGCTGACGCTTGTTGCTGGGTCGGATGGGGGCTGCGTTCATTGAATGCCGCCTTTCCTTGTCGATCTTGTTTATCATATTTTAAAACGAACTTGTTACAGGAAATAGATATTATGATACTGCGTACAATCTAAAAAAAGATACTGCGTACCCATTTATATGTTATTGATTCTGCCTACACTTTCTTCGAAGCAGTCTAAGTTCATAATGGGATCAAATTGATAACACTGGCGAAAAAAAATAATAAAGAGTTATTTAGAATAAAAAATAAGATTCAAATCCTGTGATAAAGTATGCTCCCTTAAAATGTTTAAAATTGGCATCATAAAAAAGGTCTGAGTTTAATATATATTTACTCATTAATGTATCACTCTAAACTGATACACTGCATAACTTTTTACAGTCAAATTTATAGCCTATAGACCTACTTAAAGACTTTTTAGTCGGTTGATGAACATTAATTTGAGAGAAACAAATATTGGAAACATTGTATTCTTTTTTTATCACAAGCGAAATACGCATTATTTATAGCAGTGAAATAGTTTTCTTTTTTTGACGGTTTTTGCACGCGCTGATTTTGGTGCTGCATTGTGACGTCAAGTTTACAACACTTCAGACGTCTGTACTGCGTTAATGACTGATTTAAAAATATTGGTGGCCGTATTTATTTTTTAACTTAGACATTTTTCTATCATTATAGATAATTAATTATACTTTATCACATACCCATTTACTTCAAAAGGTCTTAATTTTTGGTAAGTGATAAATAGAATGTTAAATTCATGTAAGTTAAATACTAAATTTATTGAACTCGTTGAATAAGATAATAGATCTATAATGTTTTTCGGAGGCTGGCATAATATCATTTTTTTTACCCGTTTAATAAAAACAATATTGAACTTACGCTCATTCAATATCCTCTTTTTTATCAAATACCCGTGTCGCATTTGCGTCACCGTAAAAATAATATGAGCCGTGTCACGACAAAACCAACATAGTGCGTTTGCAACCAGCATGGATCAAAATCTGGAAACAAAGTGATCCCTCGGAAGCATTAATCACAACAAAATTACAAGAGAACTGCAGACTCGGTTTGATTGAGTCTGTACATGAGGGATAATGAATACGTGCAACATCCCTCACGCCCCCTAGCACCAGCTTGAGCGGTACTCAATTCTCAACACTTAATAGTGCATCCGCGCAGTCTGATCAGGATCCATGCTGTTCGCTATCAGTTCCTCTTCTTGTAATAGAGTTGGTTAGCGAACAGCATGTATCCTGATCAGACTGCGCTGATGTGCAGGCTGGTCTGGATCCATGCTGGTCGCAAACGAACTATGTTGGTTTTGTCGTGACGCGGGTCAATTATATATTTCTTTATTTCCTCCAGTTTTGAAGAGTACATACATATACAATACAGTTCTTACAAAAAGTATATAAATCATTACATGTACATCAATGTATGACTGACAAACATATGAGTACATGTATAATTATATTAATGTAACAAATTTTGAATAAACACATAATTGATAAATAATATAAATAAGGTTAATAACTATTTAACATAGAAACAATATATATACACGAAGAAGCAAACGAAAATTTTGAAATATTGTATTCAGCAATACATGTATATCCTCTTCTTATCGGAACGAAACAAAATTATCTTGAGAGGATATACAATATAGATGTACCTGTAAAAATGGTTTATGTAACAAATATTGAATACACACAGAATTGATAAATAATATAAATAAGGTAAATAATCATTTAACATAGAAACAATGTATACACATGAGGAAGAAAACGAAAATTTTGGAATATCGATTCGGCAATATATCCTCTTGCTAAAGATTCTTATCGAAACGAAACAAAGTATCTTGGGATTTTATACCTGTAACAACGGTTAATACATGAACTTATAACGAAATTAATCAAATACATATAAGTTGTAAAGTCAGAAGAAACAATAGTGCGAGCGTGTGTGTGAGAGAGAGTGTGCGTGCGTGCGTGTGTTGTTGCGTGCGTTCGTGTGTGTGTGTGTGATTTTTTTTTTTTTTTTTTTTTTTTTTTTGGGGGGGGGGGGGTTACTTTGTGAGTATAAGCGTGCGTGTGTACATGCGTGCGTTTAAATGGGTGTGTATTCGTGCGCTTGTATGCGAACTTGTAGCAAATTCAGTTGATTACGAACAGAATAGGACAATTATAACAT